GTGGGTTCAACTCCCCCCTCGGACGCCTCTGGGACACCTCTCGGGCATCTCTTATGGCATCCACTTTGGCTTAACTCCTCCGGGATACGGTGCAACAGATTCAACAAGCTCACATGTTCATGATATCGACATCGATAGAAGAAACCAAACAAATCATGCAAGCAGCTTTGTTTTGCCTCTGGGACACCTCTTGGGTACCTCTTATGGCATCCACACTGGTTCAACTCCTCCGTGGAGGTTTTGGGATACGGTGCAACAGATTCAACAAGCTCACAGGTTCGTGAACACATCGGATGCATCGAACAGTGTGGCAAAGTCCAGCCACGCTTCCTTAATTATCGGGGACTTCAATTCTAAGGTTGGCTGTGTCATTGCTGTTTGTGTGTCTTACATGTTCACAACGTTTTTCCTCATGAGCATTTGCCTCACTCCGCTTGATGTCCCACCAGTCCGGATGCACCCCTGCTAGCTTTCGTCACCTACCCTCGGCCTCAAGTATATTAGACAGAAGGATTGCTTTTAAATCTGGGAACCCACCCGCATTTTTCTATGCTGTGAGTGGGCAACATGCGCCAGCGTTGTGGATGCAGGATGCCTGAGCTGATGGCGAATGCCTTTCAGAAGTTGGGCTTTGAGCGGGTGCGCAATGGACGTCGTTGTATTATCCCCTCGTATCTTGGAACAGCTCAGGTAGCAACTGACAATGACATGCTAACACAATTTTCAAAAGTTGGTCAGGGCTAATCACAGCTTGAGAGCAGCGAGCAGGCGTGAAGGACTTGAGGGGTAGGCCTAACCAGATACAGGGACACATGAGGTCCCTTTCCAGGGTGCACTGGTGCAGCTTTAAGATGCTTTGTAACAAGTACTGGCAAGTGTTTTTGAGAGGCCATGTTCCTCTTCCGCAAGTACGACCATGGTGCCTGCCTCAAATGTTTTGCCATCATTGAGTGTGTCACAATTCCCTGAATGTGTTAGCTTCTGTATAGATTCTAGAGATGTATTGGTTCATACAGCAACTGTAGTTTGCGATATTACAAATTAGAAACCTCCATTTATGAATGGAAGGTCTATAGTCTTTAATAGTGCAGTGTTTGCCAGTTGTGCAGCTCTCGTAAATTGTCCATTGCCGTTACTGCATGCTGTATATGCACATAATATTCCATGCCTTTCTTGCTTTCTTCCTGTCTTGCTGTCCTCCTCCCTTCCCTCCCTCTCTCCCCTCCCTCCCTCACTTCCTTCCTGTCCTGTCCTTTCCTGCCTCCTTTCCTCCTTCCTTCCTTCCCTTACTTCCCTTACTTCCCTTTCCTTTCCTGGCCTTTCCTTCCGTTTCGGTTCGGTTCGGTTCGGTTCCCTTCCCTTCCCTTCCCTTCCCTTCCCTTCCCTTCCCTTCCCTTCCCTCCCTGCCTTCCTTCCTTCCTCCCTGTGTGTGTGGCAGTTTGCGTGGCAGGTTGTCACAGGGTCGCACTTTTGGATGCCAACTGAGACCCTGGCGACACCCCTTCGCAAACTCCCCAACACTAAAACAACACCCCCAAGCCCGAGGACCCACAAGCAAAATCGACAACCCAAAAAAACAGCATGGCAAGATGGTCCTCACCATGGCATGAAGGCAACTGATTGAAATGTCATGGCGGGGGTCACTCAAAGCAAAGTAAGTTTGGTCAGAATCAGTTTGTTTTCCAAAGGTAGCCCTTTTAGCAGCACCAAACATGAAGAACAAACAATCCAGCACCCCCCTTTTCCCAATTTCTTGTGTAGTTATTCTGTGGGTTCCTGACATTTACAATAATATTCAGGGGTACTCCAGATGTCGCAAATTGCTTGTGATTTCCATGGCCCCCTAGAAAGGTGCACCACCTCCTACAAAACCATTCTAGGGGAAGCTGCTAGGAACATACTCCTGTAGGCCACATGGCTCCCTGGAATAGCTTTGTAGGAAAGAAAGGAAGCAAGAAAGGAAAGAAGAAAGGAAGAACGAAGGAAAGGAGGAAAGGAGACAAGGGGACGGGACGGGACAGGACACGGAAGGAAGGAAGGAAGGAAGGAAGGAGAAGACCATCTTCAAATCTAACAACCCTCACCGGACAGGTGGTGAAAATGTTTTTGAGCGAAGAAACATATCATTTTGCCAGAGGAACCCCCTAGAGGCATGCTGATGAATTTACTCCAATTGTCAATTGAAAGTGTAATGTTATTCAATATTTAGGTGGCAGGTATTTTGCAAGTATTTTTACCTTTCTGAGGGGGTATCTACATGGGGCCCATCAAAGGCACTGTACAGTATATTGTGCATATGAGTGTGCACATGCAAATTTTATTTTACGTGTAAAAATGTATACATATATTTATATATGTATGTATATATCCATTCGCTCATTCAGAGTGCGTTCTCCTCCGTGGTTTTAGGTCGAATGGCCGATTACGATGAACTTTTGGACAAGGCAAATGTGGAACAAACATTCGTTTGCACTCAACATAGTTGCTGATGATTCATGAATGTTTGATCAGGTTCGCACAGAAACGACCAAGCTGCATGGTTCCTGTTTTGTTTCCACATGATCAATCCACACCTGCCAAATGTGTTCCGTGCATCAACCGATGTGTGGTGCCAGCTGCTTTCCAGACGGTGCCGCCTTGGCACATCGGCCATGACAGCTGTGGACCCCCGACGACACCTCCGGTGCCCTTTGCACAAGTCTTCGTGGTTGGAGCCTGAGGATGCCGATCGTCCTGCGTTTGTTGTGGGGTTCCTTTTGGAGGTCATGGCAGCGCCAGTGGGTCTATTGAAGACGACAGTTAACGGTAAAAGTTAAAGTCTTAAAATCAATGGACTTCTGGAATCTCCAGGTGGCTTTGGGAGAACTGGAGTGACCTTGATGATGGGGGTACGCACTTTGCACATCTTTGCAACATGATGCAGTTGTATATCAGTTCGAGACGGGACAAATATCCGTGTGACATATGTTTACCCTCTCATACTGGAAATCTCACAGGGTCGATTCAAGAGGTTTCAACAATTTACTTAATCCGGAGTGAGTGTTCACATCCACAATGACCGTTTCCAGGCCAAGGAGTAACCCTCCCTGCCTGGTCTGAAAGAGAGTTCTTCATCCATGTTAGGAATGTGTCCTGTTAGCACTTCAAGCAGAGCGCCGGGCTGGAGTTAAGGTGGTTCTCAGCAGCGCGGATGAGCAGGGGAAGCGTTTCCGCAGTGTCTTGAGGAGTGGATTCCAACGGTCGTATTTGACAGGTTGTCTACAATGGTCGTTTGAATGCCTTCGGATGTCGGTGGCCCAGATCAACTATACTAGGGGCAGATCACACAGGACTTTATGGTCAGTTTTGGAACGCACCGTATGCACATGAGATACATACCTTGAGAAGGTGACAAATGCCGGGAACACATGAGATGCATTTTTCTTTGTTGTTGTTTTTTTGAATGGTATATTATGGGTGGTATCAACCACTACCTGTTTGTCAATACCGGCATTATTATAGGTTGCGGATACATGAGATGGGACTCTGACCTATTCACAACCACATGAGCGATTTGGTTCTTGTCATGGACTCTGTAGGGCTTGGGCCACCTTGGAATCCGAGATTCTGAGGATTTGAACAGATGAGATGCGTTTTGCTTTTTTACATGTTTGTCCTCTCTTTTTGGAGACCGTGGACAGATGACATAGGAAAGGTGGTGACTTGGAGATCGTTGCACAACTCACAATGTCATCTGTACCTAGTATAATTACTCCATTTGCATCCCCAGTACTGCAAGACACTGGAAGAGCCTTCCAGGAAAAAACATTTGCCCCTCAACTTTCCTCTAGACGTTCCATGATTTTCCTATGATGAAGAATTCCCTCAAAAAGACGCCCTCCCCCTGCCAGCTTTTCTTGCCATGTTCATTCACATCCAACTCTGAACCATTCGTTCGGTCCGTCAACGTGACGGGGACACCCAGAGGAGTTCACAGGCTTGGCTGCCGAAGTTCCTCCACTTGGGCGGCGTAGCCTGGCAGCGACTAAGTCGAGGGAAGACCATCGGCGGGACAAGGGAGTTGGGAATGAGCCCCACATGAGGGAATGAAGAGTTGAATAGGAATGGATCCGCCATCGTTTCTCACTGGGCAGTCGCGTTTGGCTGACTCACACTAGCAGTGGGTGAACAACTGCAACAAGGAGGTAGGTTGGGGACCATGAGGGTCATGACAAGACTTTGAAAGATTATGTCTCCAACTATGAGACTTGCTTGCCAGTAAATGTTTGCTGACGATGTGTTTTCCTGAGTTTGCTTAGCACACCTAACGGGCAACAAATGCTTGACACCGAGATGGCTTCGTGCCCTAGAGCCCAAGGGACCCTCAAAAAGGGGCAGCAATCAAACGTGGTACTACCGTACTACCTTTAAAATCCTTAAACTAGCAGGATTCAGTGAGGTCTTTCAGGTCAAGGATCAGAGAGTTGTGGCGTCAAAATGTGTTGCAGATCATCACTGCCGGAAACCTCCCAGTAGGATCCAGTAGGCTCGAATCACTGGCCCGCAGAGCGAACCTAGAGAACTGAATTGAAGTAACCAGGCTCTTGGATATTTACAGGACTTTACAGGATATCTCCACCGGCTGAATGTTCAGTGCTTTGACCATTTGACCAGTCCAAGGCCGGATCATTACGTTGGAGCTTCGCAGTGTATCCCTCACATGACGAGGCAGGAACTGGTCAAACTGGACAGTTCACAGATCAAATGTCAATGTCAGAACAATAAATGTCTATTAATTAAATTCATATTGCTATATTTGTTTCTGTTTTCTGTGGGTATGCGGTATGCAGTATGCATTAGGGATTGGTGTGATAATTGGTACGCATGCTTTGAGATCACTGCAATCACACCTAAATCCGCAAGGTACGCAACTTGGGAGATTAGGAAATTATGACTAGAAACAGCGCCAGTGGCCGGTTTCCGTACTTGATGAATTTAGATTTTGGCTCATTGGTTCAACATTAACATTAATGTCGAGCACAAGGAAACACTTAAAGGGAACATGAATGTGTTCAATGTGCTCATGAGGAGGTGTTCCTTGATCAAAAGCCTGAATTTTAGCCGGAGCTGCGCCGGCGTTAATGTAGATTCCTCCCCACCTGTTCATTAGAACCTTGCCCGTCGCTGGGGCCAGTGCTGGGGTCATTGGGTCGCCCTTCAATTGCCTTTGTGGATCCTGTGGCCGCCTCGCCCTTTGGCAGGGGGGCCTATATGTGAATCTAGATGAGGAGAACGACAAGCACAAGGCAGGAGCTTATTGAAAGAGTTCAACCTGTTCAACGGATCGGTCATATTCCAAGATGACCGAGCTCCCCAAGAAGTCCTTGACCCAGCTAAGGACGGGAAGAGCTATCCAAGTTATACAGTTATTAGCTATGGCTATTGCCATAATCAATGTTATTCTGTTTCTCTACCAGCCACATTCCACCATGTGTCACAAGAGAAAACCTCGCTGCCGATACCTGAATGACAAGGTCCAGTTCCAGATTCTTTGGTTTCGCACCGTACATTCTTTGGCCCCAAAGGCATCATGCGTCCCAGACTTTGAAGATGTTGATAGGAGTGCAAACGAGTTGCTTTGTGGGGTAAAAACCATAGAAGGGGCAAACTGGCTGTTCGGGGGAGGGGAAGCTACAGGTTTACAATCTCTTGATGGGAAGAATGAACAGTATAGTGTTCGTAGTCTAGGGTTGTTTACGGTGTTTTTTGATAGTCTCTAGGAGAACACAGGGCAACAGTATAATGATTAATGTGTGTGTACATATGATATTTGTCTAGCTACTGCAACTAACCAACTCTCGTGAAACAAGACACCTGAGACATCATTTTCCAAGGTCGGCTTTGGTCATTGATGATGTAGCATGCATGTGTGATGCAGGATATGCTCATCTTGCCACCCTCTGACAGGACAGCGGCCAGTTTGGCTGCTCAACAGTGAAACTGCCCACTCGGTTTTAAGTTGGAGATAGATATGAGTCAAACTTGGAGGCTCAACATGATGGTGAGAAATCAGATTCCCTGGTCCAACATGCAGGGGTATGTGGGTGGGTTTGGATCCATACCCATATTTCATCAAGTTTGTTGCACTGTGGGAGACCTGTCTTTGGGGGTGTGACTGCCATTTGACGTTCAGCACTTCAGCCTGAAATGGTTAGGTGTATTGTTCACAAGACCTCTTGAGATTTCTCAGCGATTTTGTGTGGACTAGAGGACCTCAAAAGAGAAGCCTTTGGTTGGCACCACAGACCAACTGCTGCAGGCCAGCGTGGGAGACGTGGGTCAAACGGGTCAAACGGGGCCAACGAATCAACCTAGGATCAAGAAAGCAGTGAACATCCAGCATAAACAATAATTCTATTGTACATTTTTCTTGCAGCGTGACAGGCTTGGGTGTTTGGCCCACAGGAATCTGGGTCTAGGACCGACAGTCATCACTGAAGCCTTTGTCTCATTGAGTTGGACATCGGTCGACCAAAGAAGATGAGCGGGACTTCTTTAGCATCCCATTGCCTCACTGCCTGTTCCCTGCAAGAGCAGCTGTTCAAGCACAGAAGCTGGTTGACATGTACTGCTGATTCTACCTTTCGTTTGGGATCTACGACATGTGAGGAGGGAATGGGGGGCTTTGCACCACCACGGCACCGGGGCCGCAACATGTTGTGGTACACATGCCATTGCCCAAGTGGATGGAGGTTTACACCCAATATCACCCAGTAGCTCCAAAAGCCGATGATCTGTCGATTTCTGGACTGTTTTGTTCATGTTGTGTGTGAAATGGTTTGAACTCTTCAGGTGCCAGGGTCATTATTTGTTGTTCATGGTTTCATTCACAGGAAGGTGGCCAGGACTTTGTCATGTTCCCCTGCAAGGTCTTTGCTCTCTTGCGGGATTTCCAGTTCCGCTTCCTGACCATTTCAAGGCGCTGTTGTGTTGGTGTGCTTCGTGGAACAGTGGAAGCGTTTGCTGGGCTTGCGGTGTTTGGATACGAGAATTGCAATATGCAGGGCATCGCTACTAGGAGCAAGGATGCTATTAGGTGGAGGACATCGCAAATAGGTCGGAGGCCATCGCTACTAGTAAAAAGAAGCTACTGTACTAGTAGCAAAGAAACAGATGCGTCTTGCAATGGTTTCCACAGCAGCTATTTTTGAAGTGCTGATGGATCATTCATTCTGAGGCATGATTGTGTGCGCATTTCGATATGTTTCCTACTTAAGTAGTGGAGTCCCTTGCTGCGAGCATGGCTGTGCACTCAGTCCGGGGTGTAAGTTCCTTTGCTCAAGCGTGCAATAACGCCCGTAAAGTGCCCACCCAATCGCGGTAAATAACGCTGCTTGAGTGAGATGTTTTGCAATTATATAGTCAGGTCATCGATCCTGCCATTGGTACTGTCACTATTTGTACGGGTCACTGCACCTTTGTCTTCAACATGCTCTCAATCCGTGGAGGGTTGATCAACCTTTCGCTTACAACTTAGCTACGAGTCCCAGTACAGTGGGAATCCAATGCGAAGGCCTGCTCCTTGCGCAGGCAGGACGTCTTCGTGAACTTTGAGCATTTCATGGATCAGTTGCAGATCATGGAACCGCCAGCTGGAAAGGTGAGGTGTCCACAACAGAACCAGAAGCTCAGGAATGACAATGCAAAGAGATGTGTGATTGAACAAATGGACTGAAGAGGAGAGTGACCCCTCGTTGCTTGCTTGTTGTGAGCGCTGGCATGGCTCTTTAGCATGGAATACCGGTTGATGCGCATGATAGCTGTACTGGAAACCACCAAACTTGAAACTTGCAGCTCCGCCAAAAACATGTAGAGTCGCATCGGGGTTGTTTGTTACATGTTCGAACCTTATCACCTGGTTGGCTCACACTTCTACAAGGACGCTATTAGGTGAAGGCCATCGCTATTAGGTTGGAGGCCATCGCTTAGCAACAATAAAGCGTTTTGGGTCTTTGAAGCTTCTTAACATCTTCCTAGCTTTCTTTGTGACTCCCTGGTCACCACGGTGTTGCTGCCAGGTCTTGGGTTCCTGGGCGTCGATGGGCACTGCCTGGAGGTGCGGGGGAAGTGTGGAAAGTGACTTGGGAAGGTCGAATTCCTTGGAAAACAAAGACAAAATGATCAACCCGTCGCTGTCCAAAGGTCCAAAAAGCAGTTTCGCCCGTCCTAGTACCTGAGCAGTATGGCTGGCTTTCTCCGAGCACAAGTGATTTTGGTGGTTTGCGCTGTCGGGCAATCTGCCTCGTCGGATCCAATTCCATCGCTATCTCGATGGGCAGATGCCACTGGTGCAAGCGCCAGTGAGGGGGATGTAATAACTTGCACCTGGGGTGTCCTTTGCAGGCATGGGTTCCAGCGTGGCAAGGAGGAGATCTGTGAAAGCCACTTCGAATGTGCACCAAGTGATCCAAGTGGAGCTCCAGTCGAACCTGCTCAAGTACCTCAAGGACAAGGAACTGAGCACAAACCTGACGTCCCTGCACAGGGAACAGCCGAAGTGCCTGCTCAAGTTGCTCCAGTTCCAGTGCCTCCACACAAGGATGCTCCGGACACCAGTGAGGCTGGAGACGCAACACCTACAAAGCCTGCAGCGTCTCCAGTGGCAAACGTCAGCCATGCAGCAGTCAACGCACCCAAAGTGAGTGGCACCCAGCAGCAGGATGTGTCAGGTAGAGACGCCAGCGATTCTGCAATTTTACCACCACGGCATTTGAGAGGAGCGATGCCTCCTCGGGGGGTTAGCAAGGGCGCTGGGAGGCTTTTGGGAGCTCAAGCGAATCAGATTCAGTGTGAATGTGGTGTTGTTTGCCAATGGGGATTTCGCACGGAAGGAGGACGGAAGGTGTGTCACTCGGATGAATGTTTGATTTGAATTTATATATATATATATTGCAATAGGTACGGTAAAAATCTACCAGAATACTACACAAACACATAAATTCTCAAAATGGGTGTTCAAGCGGTTCTAGCTGAAGAAACGATAGTAAGTACACAGTTAATTACACTCACTCACTCACTCACTCACCAAAAAGCAATAGCCATGCATAAGTTTAAAATCGATATCACTCTCACCGAATCGTGATGTAACAAAATGATATCAAACGTATAATATAGTATACAAACACATGTTGGCTCGCGACAAGATGTCACAAGTGATAGCAATTTGCGCAACGATAGCCAAACCATGCAACCAACCTTTCACCCCCTTGACAGCCTGTTGCATATTCCTTCCTGTCGCAAGCTTTTTGGGAAACTGGGAGGAGAAGAACAATTTCATGTGCTCATTGAGTGCTGCTTGACTTTCGTGCAATATATTGTATAATGGGATCTTCTGTACACTGGTTGTTTTCACGCTAACTTCTAGATGACCGTTGTAATTAAGAGGCAAAACACAGATGCGTCACATGAGAGAAGCCACTTCGCACGAAGGCTCATTAACCTTCCCTCCCCATTGCAAGACGTTCAACCTATGAGGAATAGGTTTAGCTCCAGCGAGCTTCGCATGCACAAATGTCACAGTCAACCAGTTCCCTGTTGTGGTCAGATTGGTTCCACAACATGTTTCTGGAAAAGCATGAAAAACCAAAGAAAACGACTCGAGATCTTTCCAGCATATCTCAAAATAATGTTTGAATCACCTGGTGAATGTCCGAAGGTTGCCTTGTGCACTCAGGCAATGGCCCCCTCTATTGCAGTTCATGCATGCCAATGTCCGGGGCCTACGGAGGTGTCGCTGGCCGTCGCTAAGAGACCGCCTACGGCGACGAAGCTGCTTTGCTGCGTCCCGCGGTGCACTTTGTCGGCTGCTTTTGACGTGGCTGTGGTTGTCACAAAGACCAAGCAGATCAGCCACTTGGCTCACTTCAGCAGTGTTCTTCATGTTTGGCTCACTTCAGCGCCATGCAGTGAACCGCAAGAAGATAGTTGGAGAGCGGGACATGCATCAACTGACTCCTTCTTTTCTTTTGGGGACAGGTGGGACACCCCTTTGGATAAGCCCGCAGGCAGAGATTGCTTTTTCTCAGTGAACCACAGCCTCCATGTACTCGTACAGGCATGTACAGGCCATACATGATGGGCACGCAGCATCTTGCAAAGAGGCCGTTTGTATCCATTTGATTCCATTTGTACAGATGATCATGAGGGATTCGCAAAATGGCCGGCAGGCACTCTCCAGGCTATAGAACTCTTCCACTTTGGATATAACAGTTCCCTAGTAGATGAGACATGGAAGGGAGAGTGTTTGTCCTGGCTTTGCTGTGTGTGCAGTGCATTTGCACACACTGCAATGTCCACAGAATGTGAATGTCCTGCACAGGATGTAAGATTGCTACAGACAGCAGCTTTTAAGCACTTGAAAACTGTATTCCGCTCACCCTTCTTGTTTCACTGCCATTGAGAGCAATTTTGTTTGCTTGATATATATATATATATATATATATATCTGAGCGAATTATTGCGAGCTCACTTCGCGAGGTACGAGGTAGAATAATTTCAAAACAAAATTATGCGAGGTAAGTCCAGCACCAGGACTCCACCAAGCCAAGCAGCCTTCTTGACGTCTAAGGCCCTAGCCAGGCCTACTGGGTAAGGAACCTGTGCTGAGCAGCTCAAATAGGCAAGCCCCAAGAAACAATCCTATTTTGGCGAAATAGGATTTCACGATTGGGGATTGGTTTGCAGCCTTGTTGATGTTGTCTTAAGCCCTAGCCAGCCCCACTAGGTCAGGAAACTGTGCTGAACAGCTC